CCTGGCACTCAGCAGCCACTCTGGCTACACCAGTGGCACTGCCGGGGTGACAGTCCCCTGCCCCCCAGAGCCTCCCCCAGACGGATGCTAGTTCATCATAGTGCCACCTCTACCTTTTTCCTTGTTGGAAAACAGGTAACAATTAATGTTAAGAGAAAGGCAAGTGTTCATCACCTTGCTGCTCCACAGACACTGTCCTGAATTTTTAATCCAATAGGTTAAAAAGCAATTACAGAAGAGGCTCCATTCTTTACACGCTATCACAAGTCAGTATTTTTTAGATGCAGCCAATAGCCAAGGGGAGCAAAATAATGTGTTTCATTCACTTTTCCCAACTGTATGGCCTTTGATATATTTAAGTAGTGTGATAACTAGAAAGAGAAAAACACTCAAAAATTTCAGTTTTGACAAAAAACTTTAAAAACGGAGTCACCCTATATTCGTGCCAATGCGGTTATTTTATGAAGTCAGGGCTGACTTGTTCTCTTCCTTTCTGCCTAAAAGGAAAAGAGCAGGGCTCGGCTGGGAGGCAGGACCTGCTTCCAGGCAGAAATATTTATTCAGTGAAAAGTCACATTTAAATATTGATGTTTCAACAGAACTTACTATTTGTTTAACCAAATGTTATAGATTTGCCTAGACAATCAAAATGGGGAATAAAAACATGGTTTTAGGCCCTTTTAGCAACACTGAATGACTTAGAAACAGTGATGAGCAAATCCTAAATTTTTCAAATCCACGTGATTTGTGGCTCAGATTTCATGATAAATTATTAGGATTTGACTTTGCAAGACAGGTGTTTGGCAGCTCTAACTCCCTGCTCCCTTTAGGAGACATCAAACCAAGCATTAAACTCCTGCGGTCTTGAAAGTTCAAGTCAAGGTGGTTTTTGTTTTGCTTTTCCCCCTGAAGGTCAGTTCAGGATTGAATCCTTTTGTCAAGGTTGGCTGGAGAGCAGAAGGCTCTGTTAATCTGCAGGCACTGCGGCTCCCTCCTGGCTGCCTTCCCTTGCAGTTTGTTTTACTTCAGGATTCACCCCCTGGGATTGTAAAGGCTGCAGATGAGGGTTAGAGGTGAAACAAAGAAAATGAGGTTGGGTGTTTATTTAGAGGGAGCCAGAATTCATAATGTTGGAGACACTTGGCCCCTCCCAAGAGATAATCGTAATTTACCAGCACCTCTACAGCACTTGTTCTTACCCAGAAATAAAACACAATGACAGATCCAAAATACTTCTTCCCCAAGTAGCTCCTAGAGCCAAAACAAGGAAGAACTTTTTTCTGTGAAGTGACCAGTCACTGGAACAATACAAATATGCTTCCAGTGATCTCCATGTGGGAAAGTATCTGAAAAAAGAAATAAAGGCAACCTTGCCTCCTTCAGAGACTTCATTTTTATATTCACTCCACTTGTGCCTAATTATGGTGGGGAGTTTTTGACCATAGATGTTTTTTTCTTGGTAGATTGCCTTCTTATCCCTCCCCCTTTCTGAGGAGGAGGCCAAATTTTGCTTTCATTTATTCACTGTGGAACCCCACTGACTGGTAGCTAACAGGCACATCCCATCTCACAAGGCAGCCTGGTGATATATTTTCCCTTCTTCAAACCTTGTTTTAATTATCACAGGAGCAGCAAGAGAAGGTGCAGACGCATCCATTACACCTAAGAAAAAACCTTGCCCTTTTCCCAGGCTTTTTTTGGTGTTTGGCCTCTAGGGCATCATCCATTTGCAATGAGATCCCTGGATTTACAACAGAGCAAGTGGTTGTACAACAAAAACTGGATTCCGGGGTCCTGATAAGAGAAGACAAGTGTCCTGCGACCAGAGCCTGACCAGTCACCCCACTGCTAATCCGGCTGAACCAGCTGACATCGGTGGTTTTATGCTAAACACACACCGGGGTGAAAAATGAGAGTGGCGCTCAGCTCCGGCAGCCCAGCTCCAGCGCTCTGCTACCAGAAGTGGCTGCTTACTTTCAAACTCTCTGCACAGGCTGTAATCACTCAATATTGAAACCAGATTTACAAGCTCTTTAGAGGAGAAGTTTGTGATTTCCAAAGCAGACGCATTTGGTATTTCAGAAAAAGGTCAAGCCCCCTGTGGAGTAAGGGGTTTTTAATAGAATCAGTTCAGCAGGAGTTAAGAGGAGACATACCAACCCAGCGGCTCGCAAAGCCAGGAGCGGCAGAGACATAAGAAAAGCTACAACCATTATTGTTTGGAGGAAAGAATCAGTGAAAGAGGCACGGGGTATGCTAAATTAAATCTTGGACATTTGATTTCATTTATTCCAAACGGAGAGACTTTCTCAGTTGGAAACAGAGGGCTGTCCTTCTTATGCTCCCAGGCATGAAGGGGTTTCAAAGAAAGGAGTGTTTGTTATTGTCTGCGGGGGAAACCTGAGAGTACTTAGCACAATGGCAAATCCAGGCTCTTAACTGAAATGCATTAAAAAGGATAGCCTTCGATTACTCTCACCTCTTCAGCCTCTGGCCAGGCTCTTCAGCCATTAATATTTGTCGCCTGCCTCACTAGGCTGGGTGAAGTGTTGGTCTAGGACTTTGTTTCGTGCTGGTACAGCAGCCAGCAGCCGGGAAGCCCAGGGAACATCACTAAGGACTCTCCTTGCCACAGGAGGGCAAGGTTTCTAATTCCCACAAGTGCTGAGGCCTGCAGGCTGTATAAGCAGCTACTACAGAAATATCAGTGATGAAGCCAGCTACTGCTTACTCCAACGCCCTTTGGACTCTGCAGTCAGTGGTTTCAGTGAAAAGATTTGGGGCTTATTCCATAGCTGCTGCCAGACAGACACCAGAGCTCATAACACAATTTCCTGCATGTAAAGGCTTGAAAATATATTGGAAATCCAGATTTCATATTGTCCTGGTTTTGGTTGGGATAGAGTTAATTTTCTTCTCAGAAGAAAGCTTAGAAGACTCATAGCCCAGAAACTCCCAGGCCCTATCATCTACCACACCCAAACTGCAAGTACCACACCAGGTAAAGAACCCCAGGAGATGGCAGCTGCTAACCCAAGCCCCAGCCCCAGCACTCTGTGGCCCTGCTGCCATGACTGCAGGGGATGGCAAACAAGCTCTTTTCTTCTTTAAAGCATCTCCACAGCAAGGGGCCAATTAGAGCATCCTGGTCTTACTAGTCTTTTAATGGCAAGCATAAATAGGCCCTTATGTATTCAAATCAGCGGCAAATGAGTGGTGAAGGACACAGGACGCTTAAATGACTATACAACATGCTCCCTCTGATTGCTGGAGAAGGCACGTAAAAGGTTTAGCCATCAGATTTTCTAACTTCTCTAGTCACAGTAACTACTGGTGCAGCTACAGACAGTATTTCAGGTTTGTCTCTTTCAGCATCAAGCTCCCAGTCAGACATTCCCAAAAAGTAATACACTTGGCAGAGCAAACAACTGCCCTAGATTTTCAGATCAGTGCAAAGGAAGGGCAGAGCTCTTATAGGAAAGCAGCACTTTGAAAGGTCAGCCAGAAGACCACAGGCCAGATTCCAAGAGAGTTGTGGCCACGTAATTTCTTGAACTCCAGCAGTAGAAAGAGGTAGAAATCAGACCTAATTCTCTGCATGAAAAGCAGCTCTCCAGGCACGTTGAAATAGTAAGAAGGGTCAGCAGCTTGAGGTACACAGATGAAACAATCCTTCTAAAGTGCACTTTAATATTGCAAACATGGGCACAGTGGGACCTTGGCATTCCCAAGGCTCTCACTGCACTTGGCCCACATGAGTGTTTAACTGTAGGGTTAAATTTGCAATTTCAGGACCTCTGTTTGCACAGCCAAGTGACCGACTCATCTCCAACAACAACCCTGCCACATGTTTAAGTGTGCTTTCAGCCTGTGGCTTAGAGGGGCAGGTTTTCTTTGCTTACAGCCCCCTTTGCATTTCAGCCTGCACATCCCAAAGCAATCTACCACAGCACACAGGATCAGAGCATTGCTGCAAGGCTGCCGTAACCCCGTGTGTACCCCTTCTCACTGCTGGCAACAGTAGGACTTCAACTTCACAGCCAGAACAGGAGGCAAAAGCATTTCTAAAGCTTCTTAAAACACAGATGAATACTACATTCTTGCCAGGTTCTGTCTTCTGAAGCAGCATTTTGGATGCTTCTTTCACCATGATGTGGTTTCAGTCTTTTAAGTAAGTATACTTTCATTATGGTAAAAGTCTAATACAGCAAGAAAAATAAATACAATAAATTCCTTGAATAATCCAGAGGTTGTTTGTTTTTTAGCAACTAAGCATTGAATAAATGAAACTATCAAGTGCAGCCAACTAGCAGAAGGAGTAAGAAACAACTAAGTGCACAAATATTGGCCAGAAAGAAAAGCCACCTATGCAGGAATAGCATAAAGGAGGAGCCAAAGATTAAAGTACAGTGTTGTTTCTTCAGTCCCACACAAAACTAGGAGCATATAATACTTAGTTACATGATAGAGTAAGGCAGATACTTTCCACTGTGCCTAGAGGTGTTATAAACAGAAAAAAACCCAACCAAACCTACTAGGCAGTGCGGTTTTGGGGTTTTTCCCTCTCCTCCCCCAAAAAAAAGTTTGGGTGTAAAAGGTACAAAAAGAAAACAGATCATAGAAATAAGAATTGTGAAACAAGGAAAGACAGCCAGCTATAAAGAATTAGGAGTCTCTTTCTGATACATTTTGCACTGAGGAAGCCTTTCTTCATTAACAGAGGAAGAAAAAGTTATCACACAAAGCTTTGGAAGAATTCACTGAGGTTATGAACAAAATGCAACAGCCAAGAATCGAGGATGTGGGTTCACAGCTACTTGAAGTATAACACAAAGCTGCCACCTTCCTTCTCAAAACCATGTGAATTCCTTTGCAGAGTAGGAAAATAGTCTGCTTTCAGAATCTAATTGTTATGCATGGCATTACCATACACACCTTGATTTGTTTCCCACTATCGCCCACAAGAAAACCCATTTTCCAAAATAAAAGTCACAAGCAAGTTTCAGACAAAATATATATATTTTAAAAAAATCTTTACAATAAGTCAGGAAACACAGGAGCTTGCATACAGTTTATTATAATAAATCAGTTCTCAGCTCCCTACAGTTCAGATAACCCTGGTGACAGTGTTTACAACTTCTAACTTTTGCTTTCACAACTCTGAAGCAAACGATACATTTGAGTGTATTTTACTCTGTGCAAATAAGACAACTTTTGGAATCCTTCAGAAGAAATATCCAAGATTCTGTTTGCAGAGGTCCTTTGTTTCTCAAAGATGATTTATGAGAGTTTTTGTTTTAAGATAAAGTGCTCCTGTCCAGCAGAACCCAAAGGCCTTCAAGAGTTCAGAGAGTAAGTTTAGCCCAGATTAAAAAATAATTGGTCATACAAATTCCAGCTTCCCATGTCCGCTGTACATTCCCCAGTGGACCAGGGAAAGAATTTTATCATTGCTGAGGTCTGAATGTCTCATTTTATCACAGGTCATGCAGCAGTTCTCGTGACCAGTCACAGGCACCATGCATTCCAAGTCCAATTTTGCCACCTGCCCTTTTTTCGAATGATGTCCATGAAAACTGTAGTGCAAACGAGAGAGCATTTGCTGTCGCTGATCCTGCAGTCTCTTGTTTTCACTCCTGAGCATCCTCAAGGCCAGCATGATAAGGAGCACCAAGATTAGCCCACCAGCTATTGGAACAGCAATTACAGCTGCCCTGAACCATAACTCTTTTGAAGAAGTCAATTCTTGCACCTTGGTGATGAGATTCCTGCTGCTGTCGTGTTGATATCTGCTCCCTTGTCCTGCAAAGGGGAAAAATGTGAAGCTTGTTTCAGGATTTATATATCCACTATATATTTATATATATAAGCAAGTCCCTTAAATCCCACACTGACAAGTTAAAGGAGAAACTGCTACACCCTGCAGTATCTACAGAAAATACCCTGTAAAGAAAAAAAAAAGTTTCAAATTTTTTCCAATTTTCCAACTTTTCCAACAGTTTCTGCTTATAATATGAAATTTCTTATCCCAATAGCCAGTTTAACTAGGAACACCACTGCCATTGGTTCTAAAAGGTCATGTCAAGATGGCAAGAGAAACTTCCAATATTAAGGCAGACAAGAAAGTTAATTGGCTGAGATGTTCCTCTGCATCCAGCCACCTGCTTCTCCCTCTGGTGTCTCTACTTACATTAACAACTAAATAAAAGATGCACAAGGTTTTGACTGTTGCTGGCCTGATGGCCAGAAGAGGGGTTTCACTGAAGCTTTATTGCCCTACCTGAAGCATCGCCTCTGGACGGAGACAAAACATCGTGCAGTCCTCTGTAATTGCACATATCTTCATGACAGCATTCCAATGTGGACATGGTGGTGGTGGCAGAGTGGTTTTGTGCTTGTTTGGCTTGGCAGATCTCAGCTGTGCTTGCAATAGAGTCCAAGCAGCCATGAGTAAGTGGGGAATGTGTATTCTGAGGATCAAGCAGTCTGGAGAAGCAGGCGCTAAGCTCAGATTTGCACATATAGCCGGTTGCAACACAGTGTGCAGCATCACAGTAGCATCTGATTTCACCTAAAAAACAAAAATCATGCAAGAAAGGTAAGAATTTGATCCTCTAAGGACACCTCATCCTATATCCTTATTAGCCACACACATCATACAGCCAAACTGAGTGCCAGTTTTGAGGTACTTCTCCAGACTGTAGATCCACAGGAGCTGGGGCTGTTCCCATCACTGTACAGCGCCTACCTCCTTGTAACCTTAATCCCTGTAAAGGCCTTGGGGCACTTGCTTAAATGACAAGTACTACAGTCCTTTGAATTAAAGCAAGAGCATTTCACTAAAACAGGGACTGGGGGAGGAAGGTCAGTGGCTTTTTTTTCTCCAAGGTAAATAACTAACAAGACCATTTTAAAGCTACTTCCACTCGCTGTCAGCAGTTGCATTTAACCACATTTAAAGTGAAATACCAGTTCTAAAAGCAACACACACTTTCAGTCCTAGAAGAAAGTCACATCTATGTTTTAACCATTACTCCAGGAACAGCATCCTATTTTTATAAAAGTAACATTTCTTTTAACTAGGCATAAGCACACAACAAAAATACCAGGTTCAAATATTTATGGGACAAATGAAAGAAAAATAAAATCGGAACTGCTGAATTGTTTATTACCTCTCAGTAGTGCGCCAAAATTTAAAAGGTTTAACTAACACCTTATAAAGCTATTAGCTAGAACCATTACCATCTAAGTCACTCAGGAAGGTTTTACTGTGTGAAACTGAGCAACTATTTGTAATTTCTCCAGAAAATCTTTAAATAGTTATTCATGCAAAAAGACTTTTTCATCACTATTATAAAACAAAAAAAAGTTGCAGTTAATAATGGCTCTGTTCACCAAAGAGAGTGACTCTCGATTCAAATTTAATATTTTTTAATGGAGTGAAACTGCAAGGCTAAAGGCTCCCCCCTTGCCTCTCCCCAATCTCACATGCAATCCAACATGCAGTAGAAAAGAGGAAACACTTAAGATTGAAAATCCTCTACCAGCTCTATGAAAAATCTCAGGAAACCTCAAAAATTTCTGAAGGAAGCGATAAAAAAAGTTCCCTTCATAAAATTCTTCATTTTGTGCTCTCCAAACTGCTCTGGTATGAATTAAACACGTCCTGTGCTATAGCAAAAACGTACTCTTTCTAGGCAAGTTGCTATTCAAATATAATTCAATGTGCCATCGAGCCAAGGTTTAAGAGGAAGCCAGATTCTGGGGACATCCTTGGAAGAATGGACTTAAAACTACTTCTGGTGTGCCTACTGTACTAGCCACCATAGTAGCACCAAGGCTTTCAAAGTTGACTAAATAGTCAGATATCCTCCTCCTACAGTCTGCACGTCAAAAATCAAGTTACAGGCTTTCCTGCTGCCACCCCTTCTCATGATGTTACCTACCAATAATATCTTAAAAAAACTGTTCTGCAAGATGTTAAAAATCATCCCAAACAAGTTAGCTTCCCCTCATCGGGCTACCTTAATACTTTCCCCAAAATGCTACTGCAGGCTCCAGGCCTCGAAGTTCCCGCTGCTCTTTAATAACTCAGCTTAATAGAAGCCAAATGATGGACTGTCTCACTGTCTCCAGTCCAATTCCCTTGGGCTTTCAGACCAAGTAATCTAATTTTTCATGAATTCACACTCACTGTCATCCAGCATGTTACAGAAAAAGACTCAATCATTTTCTAAGCATTCTATATGAGGTCTCCCCCTTACCCCTCCGAAAAAAATAGTTTTCATAATTTTTGCACTGTTAAATCTAAGATGCAAACATGGCATAGTACCAGAACTGACACTTCTTTCATGAGTCTCAACACAGTATGGGAATAAAATGAAACAATACACATATTTTCATTGGAACCATTTATACAATCACGTTCAAAAATCTAAATTTTAATGCCCTAAGACAATGTTACAAACAAAATCTGACAGGCTAGTCATCAGGTTAATTCAACTGCTTTTTAATTAAAGCCACGTTTTCAGTGGAACAGAATGGACTTTGTATTACTGTATTTCTGTCAATTCATAAAATTTCTTCCTGTGCTATGCGAAAGGCCAGAAAGGGTATTTAGTATTTTGAAACAGTGAACAATGCCCTTCTGTTCCCTCCTCTTTCTTGTTACTGTACGTAGCTATTAAAGAAAAATGTCTGCTTTTAGTCAAGATGGCTACAGGAGAGACTGCAGGCTTCTTTTAAAGCTTTTGAAGTCAACAGCAGCCAGGAGTCTGTGATCCCCTAATTATATCATTATCAGGCACATAGTTTCAGTATCTGCGACTTCACATCATTCAGTCACTCCCTGTTCTGCCCGCTTTGATGGGGCCAGCAGGCTCCCCCCTGCACGCTGCAAGGCTGTTATTTAGGGCTAATTACAGCCTTCCTTCCAAAATAAATAAATACCGTCGCACATCACCACCACGCTAACTTATCCTTTACCCTCCTCCCCGGAGCACGACGATTACCGGCAGCCAGCGGGTCGCCTCTGCCCCGGAGGGTGCTCCCCGGGCGGCCAGACCACAAACCGCGGAGCCCCCAGGGAGCCCTCACGGAGCCCTCACGGAGCCCCCTGCTTCCAGCGGGACAGCCGCGGGGCCGTGACTGCCCGGCAGCGGCGGCCAGGTGTGAGGGGAGGGACGGAGGGGCGGGAGGCTCAGCCCCGGCGGCTCGGCCGCCAGCCCCGCTCGCCGCGGGGTCCCGAGACAGGGCCAGGNTGGATGGATGGATGATGGATGGATGGATGGATGGATGGATGGATGGATGGATGGAGGATGGATGGATGCTGGATGGATGGATGGATGGATGGATGCTGGATGGATGGATGGATGGATGCTGGATGGATGGATGGATGAATGGATGGATGGATGGATGAATGGATAGATGGATGGATGATGGATGGATGGATGGATGATGGATGGATGGATGGATGGATGGATGGATGGATGCGGAGCGAGGCAGCGGCCAAGCCCTCCTGCCTGCGGTCCCAGCGCTGCCACCAGCACGGTCCCTGCCTGTCCGCCCCCGACCCGCAGGGCTGCACGAGGGTGCAGAGATGTTCCCCGAACAGTTCACTGCAACCGGGGCTTTTTTCCCAAGGTTATGGAAATCCTGCGCTTGGCCTTGGCGCCGCGTGGAGCCGACAGCCATCGGCTGGAACCGCGGTGCAGCTGGGGTGCCCATCCCGCCCCCCCTGCTGCTCGGGGGCTCCTGCACCTCGCACTCAGCCCAGCACGGTCTCACCCACTGCTGGCACTAACACGCAGCAAGAGCAGGCCCGTGGTACAGAGCTATTAGCGAATATACCCTGCAGTAGCTATTCTCCTTCCAGCGTTTCCTTTCCAAGAACAGCTGTTGGGGATGGAAGCACGAGCTGGTGTTCTACCGCTGAGCTTCAATACAGCTCCTGTGGGTCCTGCTTAGCTTGGACAGTTTTTCTTCACGTGTTGGTCTTGAAAAAAATGTGCCCCTTAATTAAAATAGCTTTGCTAACTTACTTTTTTCTCTATTTCTTTCTTTTTTTCTTCTTTCTCTTCTTTCTTTCTTTGCTCATTATATTTTGTAAACCTTGATTTCTACAGCAGAGACTGTTACCCATTTATGGGCAAAATGCTTCATATATTTGGGTCCACTACTAGTATTAAAGCTGTTGGATGATGTGTAGATAATAATAAAAAAATCACTTGAGAATTTTAATTTGAAATTTTTTGTGAGTCTTTAAAAACATTTTCAATAGGGGACGTAATACCTCATGTTGGAGACATTCCTCTCTGAAAGAGAAAGGAGGAAATATGAAATCTGAGACTGAGATAACTCCAGTTTACTTTGGCAGAGAGGAACAGGCTGGATCTCTGACTAATTAGTGCTGATGCCATCACATGTTATAATGGTTTTACTGTGAGTCTTGTGATTTGCATATGTATAAGATAGATACACGTGTGCTGTGCTGCAGTCTTTCCACTTATGTTAGGCATATTTGTACTCCACCACAAAGTAATTTTCTAATTCTTCTTTGAATTTAGAAATTACAAAAACAGCAGGAACAGCCAAGCCATATCTCCCAGTCTGGCACCAGCTATCAGACACTCATTTGCAAACATACAAAATATCATTCATTATAACTTAGAATCATTACAGCAACATGTGCAATTCTGCTTCTCCTGTTCCTATCAATGGTGACAAGCGCATTTAACAGATCTCATTTGTTACATGCAGTACCGACAGACTGGAAATGGCTTTTATTCATGGAGCCACATTACTGCACTAAGTAACATGAGAGACTCCCTGAGTATTATAAACATCCTGGCCAAGGGAGCACAGACAGACTAACCAGAGGGCAATGTGCTTGAGATCAGTTTTGAACAGCAAATTTCATTGACAGCTGTCAAGTTTGAGTTGAGAGGTACAATTTACTGTAAAAAAATTTCTAGTTCTGTATGCACAAGCGTGCATAAAATACCAAAACTGAGGGAGGGACAGCAGGGATCACTGACCAGCCTTAGCTTCCCCAAAGCAACTAAAGACCCTTTTGGAAACCTGTGGATTGGGTCAGAGTGCCAGGAGGGTTTGACCGACTTACTGTGTCTCTTCACTCTCTGGCACACTGCTCAGAGAGACATGCAAGGATTGTGTGGGGTCCCCTGACATACTATAACATAAACAAGATAATTCAGCTTCTGCAGTGCTAATTTGCTTTTGTTTTAGAGACAAGAGCTAATAGGGCCGGATTGGCCTGTAAAAAAGGGACAGGAGACAGACCCAGCACAAAGCAATAATAACAACATGTTCTGCAACCAGAAGGAATGTGGGATAATGACTATAACGAACCATCAAGGAAAGCGTCAGGAGCCTGAGGCCGCATTACATGTCTCCAGCAGCCATGGGAGAGCAGCCTAAAGCCTCCACTTGAATGGACTACAGAGCCTGTAGTCAGAGCCTGCAGAGCACAGGGCTGTTCCCTCCCACCAGATACGTGAAGGCCTTTGAAGCCAACATGAACAGAAGGACCTGGTTGCAAAATCAGCCTCTGGGCATCTCACAGAAAGGGACTGCTTTGGGCAGCATCTCACAGGAGCACATTCTCTGCATCAGCTCAAAGCTCTGTCACAGATGTGAAATCTTCTCTTTAAGAAGAAATTGCCAACTAAAACAAGAGATCCATCCAACGAGTCTTTGCAGGCCACACAAATGCTGGTTTGATTCTTTTACTTCGTTTCAGAAGCCAACAGTTGCAGTGCCAAGTTTCTGGAAGGACTGACGAATCCTTCTAAAAGACCAATTCAGGTGAGCACCTAGTGTCCTGAACTATTCCAGAACAGGATTTCTCCTGACAGGCCAGCAAAGCTCAGGACAACACCTGCTCTTCTCTACAGTCACATTCCAGAAGAGGCTCAGGAGCATGTGAGCAGTGCAGCTGTGCAAGAGTCTGCTTCCAAATGTCAGAGTCCCTCCAGTGAAGTCCCAAATCACATCCATCACCTTCTCCAGAATCTCCATGTGCCTGAGAGTCCCAGCATTGGCATGAGAGGATGGCCACCATGAGGGGTTTAGGCCTTTCCTGCATCAAGGAGGAAAATAAGACAAGCCAAGACAGAGATCAACCTTGCAGCATTTTCTAAGTACAGAACTTTGAACAAGAGAAAAGCTCTTCTCTGGCTATGGAAACCCAGCTTTAGAAAATTCAACTTCCTCCCATTGTTTTACTTCTTTCATATATTCTCTTTCTCTTTTTCACATGGATTGTCATTAATGCCTGTCCCTGCTGCTACTACCTACTGTTTATGTGCCACCACAGTAGCCTGTCTAGCCTGTCTGCAAAACAGAGTCACAACTTCAGCCTGCAGGTGCCCCTGATTTCAGTAACTTACCCAGAAAAACAGTTTGGAATCAAAAGTAATTCTTTCATCTGACAGCTTTGAACACTATCATGAATTCCTCACCTTCCTGTAAACTTTCATGGCATGCTGGCAACTCACCACCATTTCTTCCAAATCACTGGATGTAACCCTTCTGACAATTTCTAGCAAAAACCCCCATGTTTTTACACTATTATTCACTTGTTTGAACCTTTCAACAATGAATATCCCCTCTCCCAAAAAACAAAAAAAAATTAGGCAAAAATAAAAATTGATTAGAGCTGCAATTTGGAAATCCTTTTTAAATCACCTCTCTAGTCAAGGCATCACTGGAGCCCTGTCCTGGGGAGCCCCACATTCCTCAGGGAGATGAGGATTTGCATACTGCTGGATCTGCATGCACATACCAGCATTTGTCAGTACTGCCACATCAGATGATCATTGCACTAGCAAGGAAAGGCTAGTACTGCTGCTTTGGAGTCATTTCAAATCGGTGTCAAAGGCAACATTTGCACACCATATCCATTCCTTTTTGCACCTTGCAATTATGATTCAGCTGGGAATTTCTCATTTGGAAATGATGTGAAGTTAAAAGCATTGGGACTGTTTAAAGCATCTTTGGAGCAACATTAATCAGAGTAGTTTGGCATTTTTTTGTTAACTGCTTAACACTAGGCAACAAACAATAATTGTTTTTTGAGTTACTTTGCTAGCATTTGGGATATGACACACAAGCTAATTCTACTTCATTACATTTATTTATGCTGATTATTGCCTTAAAAAAAAATAATTAAGGCTTAAGCTAGCTTAGTTTGGCATAAAGCTCAGGGGGCAGGGAACATACCGTGACTGTGCAATTCTTTTGGCTTTCCACTTCTGAATCTGGCCATGGATTTACTGAAGCAAGTAGCCATTTCAGGATCCAAGGCTATGCAGAGCCCACAGGCTGGCTCCTCCAGCCGCTCCCCTGTGACAGACAGGCTGCTGAGCTGGTTCCCTCAAGGTTAATAACTCCCAAGGAGCCTTACCCCTGTCACTGGGCAGTTCAAGGAGGTGGATAGAGGCCTCCACATTACTCCCTGCTCATTTTCAGCAGCAATTAGCGTGTCCCCAGTGAAACCCAGTCACCTTCAAAGTGGAGGAGGGGAGCTGCGTTCCAGAAATGATCAGTGATACATGTTCACCTAAAATGAGTAGGAAACCAGACTAGTGTCTGTGTCGCGGGATCCACCTCTCCATGAATGTAATACATTATCCAGATGGCACCAATCTACATCCCCCTCAGACACAGGACATGATAAAGAGACACTACTTAAGAGGCCCAGAAAGTGAAGCATTTCCTGTCATGCTCATCACTTTACTTTTTTTCTTCATTTAAAACGAATCCTCCCTCCCCCAAACGAGCTGCACTTCTACTCCTCCCAATCAATAGGGCGATTTGCATTTATCCTCCTGGAGGCATCGCTCCTAGAATCGGGGCCAGAGCGATCCAATCGATAGGAGAAAGCTGGAGCAAGACTGGAAAAGAAGCAGCAGAGAGATTTCCCCCAGGGAGAAATGCAAAACACTGGAGAGAGGCAACAATTACTGTAATTGAAGGTAATGAGGCCGAGGCGCCAGCTCCAGCTCTGCTTAACATCATTCAATACAAAGTGAGACACACATGAAGGAGATGGCCCGAG